AGAATTTTAAGTCGAAACTCACTAGTGAAAACTTTCGCAATATCGGTTACAAAATGTCAATCATATCGTTCACCTAATTAGTCAATTGGTGACCAATCAGATTTTGCCTTATTTTAATGAGGAAAATAATTTTCTTTTCAGCGTTGAAAACCGCAAATTTCTATCTTGTTTCTATTAAAAATTATTAAAAAAATAGCTACCTGCCTTATATTTTGGGATTGATATTGGTTTTGTGCGTTCTATATATTGCAGCATATTGAACATCACTCATGAAGCCTAACGTTTAGAAAGCTCTATAAATCGTAGATAGTGAAAAACAGAACAAAAGATACACAAACAAACAGACGTCATTTTTTTGCGTTTCTTAGGCAGAAAAGACACAAATTTTCAGTTTTTTATCTGTGTTAGTTTTAACTGTAATTTTGACAAACACTCGAGTTTTTCTCAAAATTATAGTGAAAGCTAACATAGACAAAAAAGCTAGAAGTTTGTGCCTTTTATTCTCAACAACCGCGAAAAGTCGACGTCTGTTTGCTTTGGTATAAGCTTCATAAAAATTGGAACCAGAGAATTTTTCAAAAATTCAAGCCAAATTTGTAGCTTTCGTTTAAATATTTCAAAAAGTATATCTCATAAAAAAGTTCTCTCAAACTCAGTATATATATTTTCAAATTTTAAATAGCTAAATTTTGAGAATGAAAATTGTTGCATATTCTAGTGAGTTAAATTAGGAAACCAATTGAATTTGAATTTTATGGCTGTAAACGCGAAGGCATTTTTTGGAATGTAATGCAAGCATTAGGCACGAAGGCTCTAAGCACTTGTTTTTTGGTCGCCCATGAAGATTCACTATCGTTCACAATTTATGAATAGCTTAGTGACGACAGAATAGGAAAGAGTAAAACACACATTGGAGCAAAAACACAGTGAATATGCCCACTTTTTCCGAATCCTCCAGTTGCACAATGAGTGCTATTAACATTATTCTCTTATTTATGTTTTCACAGCGGATACGTGTGGTGGTTTCGTACGCAAAGACAAGTGGGACATATCTGGAAGTGACATATTACCTTCGTCTGTACAACAACCTGATTATGCCAGCTGTTGCTCACAATGTCAAGCAACTTCTGGATGTATTGCTTTTACGTATTCGCCATCAAGTCAACAATGTTCACTAAAAAACAATACCAGTAGTGGTGTAAACTCAACTAGCGATACCATTACTGGTTACTTACGTACGTGAATTAACTTGAATTCAGTGTTTGGCACAAGAGTATGTGAGGGAAGAGGGATTAGTTGAAGGATGTGCGTGTACGTGTGAGTATGGGTGAGTATGGGTGTGAATGTGGGGCATTGGTTTCGTTAGATTCGACTGTAGCTGTAAATATGGCTGCGAGTGTAGCTGTGGCTTAGGTGTGACTCCAGAGATGAATCACAACCACAACGGCTTCCCCAAACTCACATTTACACACGTTTTTAGCTAGTCTGCTTGCTTTCTGCTCATTGCAGTTAAGAGTAAGAAATTCGAAGCATCCTGGAAGTGTTGAGGTGGGTGTGTTTTGCACAAAACAAACATCCGTACCCACATCCAAAATATTGACTCTTGTGGAACCTATTTCCGATTATCGTAAGATCATTTATGTTGCCTTTGGTGGTTATGAGTTCATATTTTCCTCTATATGTAGTCTTTTACGATAATCATTTGTATTATGAAATGTATAATTGTATGATATTGTGTTCTTAAAAACGACCCATTGTTATAAACAATCTTATGGATATCAAATTTTAAACTAAAAAATGTAGAATGTAATTAATAATAATATTTTTTACATGAACTGCAACGCATTACTTTCGCTAAAAGCATATAGTCAAATTCCTTATTAATGAAAAAAGTAAGTTTTAATAATAAGTGGCGTGGTTGTGGATGTCGATGTCGATAGGACTTTTCTTCATCGGCATCCACATCTGCATCCATACTCGCACATCCACACCCATTACTTGTCTCAGTATTTGAAAAATGTAGACCTTGTCGACAAAAAATGCTTTCCAGAAATCTCAAAGATCTTAACAAGAGCTTCCACATGTCTTTGTAAACATGGATTCTCATTAGAATTGTTATGAAGTTCTGTTTTTGTTGCATAGGAAACTAGAAAAGCCTTTTACTTGTTTAGAGTATGTGAGGAAAGGGCATTCTCCAAAGTTTTTTTCAAGTTCTCTTCGAAGAAGAAGAGTGTTTTATTCGTAGGCAACGATCATTATGATTTCTTTTCTTTTTCTCATTCACTGTAATAATTTCCAATATTCCATTCGATGCCTGATGAGCACATATTAAAAGCTACATTCATGTTGAAGAAATTCCAAAACTCTCATTTATGAAACCTTTGTGACAATGTAAACATATTTTAGCTCAGAGAAAGATTCTCAGAACAATGACCACATAAGCATCAGAGCAGGATTATAATTGAATATTCTCACAATTTTTAGGATTTCAGATTTTGAAATAGGATATTACTATTTAGTCATTAAGATGCGTTTTTAGCTTCCCAATACAATGCTGTGAAGCTGATTATCAAGAAAACTTGATAATAGCTTTCTAGAGCACTTTTTCACTATGGCGCTAAAAATGAGCCTTTGCAAACTCTGCCTAAAATCTACAGGTCCCTACGTTTTAGTATGGAGAGTTTCGATACGGTTAGTATTGGAGTATTCAGTACTTTAAAAGCAGACAAGATTGGTTTCCAACGATTAGCATCGAACCCTTCCACGTTTTTTCAGGTTTAGATTCATACAAAACTGCTACTGATCGTGTTGAGATTCTATCTGGGTTCTCCTTCGAAACGTTTGATATAAGTTTATAGAAAACAATCTAACAAATGTCATCTGCATCGTATATACGAATTAGCCAAACGACCTCCTCGCCATCACCTCGTCTCACGTAGCGTCTATCATGAAAACGATCTTTTTAGACAGTTTCTCAATCACTCACAAGAATTATTATCCTTTTATGTAGTAAGATTAAGTAAAATATACTTATTATACATAAATATGTTCAAAAACAAAAATACAAAATTAGGTACAACTACAGAAGAACGACATTCTCTATAATATTTCGTGTGATTGACAGGGTACATCAGAGAGTGTGGGCACGACCGTGTCGTTTTTCTGCAATTGTATCCAAAATAAGATCAAAGTAAATAAGAATCATTTATTTTCTTTTATTGAACAAATAAACAATACATTGTTCATTTCTTGTGGATTGAAACGAGCATATCTAGAATTGACCATTAAACTACTGGCACTAAACTCGTGGTCGATATTAGTTATAGTTGATAGAATTGATAAAACACACCGAGCAAGTTTTGATGATATCGGTTAAATGACTCCTTTTGGTTCTATTTCATCGACAAGTAAAGAATAATTAATTAATTTTCCTTTTCCATTGGCACTTTATTCAACAGTAAATTAAAAAAAATACGATATTAGGGAAAATGATTGTAATAGCAGAAATTAGAACATATTCAATAATTCTTAAGTCTATGGTAACAAAGTATTATTTGGTACTAATTTACAGTAAATACTAAGGAGATATGCCTTGCACGCACAGCACTGCATGAGGGTAAAGATACCAAATAAATTGGTGCTCATACCAAAACTTTCAAGGATTATCGTCGATTCAATCGACCTTAATTCGTTGCTTTAGATATTTGCCTAACTCATCATCTTGCTCATCATCATATTAAAAATATGCATCTTACTGGCGTATTATTAGTAAGAAGTTTTATCATAATTCACCAAACATTATACTGTAAATAGTCGATTCGACTCGTCAATTAGGCGGAAACACTCGGCGAGCATCAGATCTCTGCTGCAAAAGTTAGCAGTTTCCTCAGTAGACTTGCATAAATCATCCAGAAAATCATGTGATCAGAACTTTGGCCCACTCACGTGAACAGTATCTCAAAAGATTCATACTGGACTCCTAGATTTACCCAAATACATGCCAATCGCAATGTACACTCGTGTTCCTAGAACTTCGGAATTCCTACTCTTTCAATCCTCTTAACAACATCTTTATATAATCCCTTAAACGCAAATCCTCAACGATTTAAGGCTACGCGTACCATTTCTAATATTCATCGGTAATATTTTGCCTTAGAAACGAAGAATAAAATTCTCAGATCTCTATGTTCTCCGATCGATAGGTAGCATGCTATAAGCATTAGACTTTTTACCAATTTTGACAATGCTAACCTCTGCATTAACCTGAAAGCCTATCTCTTCAAAGATTAGCGTGAAATCTTGTTACACTTCCGCAGCTTTTCACACATGTAACCTGTATATGATGTTGCTAAAATCCTCTCAAAAAACTTCCTTGAGAAGAGATTTCCATAATTTAGCAAAAAGCTTGCTGAAAAATATCATATCCATCGTCTATGAGAATGTTTAGGTTACCCTTTGAAAGATTTGCGTTGTTTAAAATCATGTCCACAGTTCATCATACAGATTCTGAAAGAATTTCATCTGGTATAGGATTAGCATGTCTCTTCTCAGTATTTCAAAAATGCACTCTTTCCGAAAAAAATTCTTTCCAGAAATCTCAATGAACTTGGCAACTTAAACACATCTCTGCAAACACGAATTCTCATAAGAATCGTTACGAAGTTCTCTCTTGTTGCATAGAAAACTAGGAAAACCTTTTATTTGTTTAGAGTATATGAGGAAAGGACATTCTTGAGAGTTTTATCAAGCTCCCTTCGAAGAAGAATATCTCATTTGTAGGCAACGGCAATGATGATTTCTTTTCCTTTTTCACGTTCATCGTAGTAATTTCCAATATTCCAGTCGATGCTCGATGGGTACAGAACGGAGTGACTGTTGCTGGAGGAAATGGACCTGGCAATGCCACTAATCAACTCAGCCTGCCTAAGGGCCTCTTCATTGATGATGATCAAATGATGGTCATCGCTGACTACTACAATGATCGTATCATCCAGTGGAAGATGGGTGATACGAATGGACAAATAGTAGCTGGTAAAAATGGCTCAGGAAATCAATTGAATCAACTGAGTGGTCCAACTGCTGTATTGATCGAAAAAGAGACAGATAGTCTCATTATTTGTGATTGGGGGAACGGACGAGTCGTACAATGGTCTCGTCGTAGTGGCACAACTCAAGGAGAAATTCTCATCGATAGTATTAGTTGTTATGAATTGGCCATGGATGATCAGAAATATCTCTACATCTCTGACGTCGGAAAAAATGAAGTAAAACGATATCGAATAGGAGACAAGAATGGAACTATCGTGGCTGGTGGCAATGGCGAAGGTGCTGGTCTCAACCAGCTCAAATTTCCGGTCTACATCTTTGTTGATCGACAACAGACTGTCTACATGTCAGACAACTGGAATTTTCGTGTAATGAAATGGAATAAAGGTGCAAAAGAAGGAATTGTCGTCGCTGGAGGCCAAGGCAAAGGGAAGGCTCCGACACAATTGTCGAGTCCTACAGGACTATTTGTCGATACATTGGGTACTGTTTATGTGGCAGACCTCGTGAATTATCGAGTAATGCGTTGGCCTGAAGGAGCGAAACAAGGCACTATCATTGTGGGTGGAAATGGTCAAGGAGCAGGAGCAAATCAGTTGAACTATCCAGAGGGTTTGTCCTTCGATCGACATGGCAATCTCTATGTCGTCGATTCAGTGAATGCTCGTGTTCAACGTTTTTCTATTCAATAGGGTAAAAGCGATGGATTAATTTTTTTTCTTTCCTTTTCTTCCAAATAAATCACGTTGAATTAGTGAAAGAAATGATTTATTCTATTCGCGCGCGTGTCCATGAATCACCCTGGTGGCGCTGTGGCGGACGTAATGCTCATGCACGGACAGAAAGACTCATATTATTCACATGCACCCATCCGATGACATATGCCAATGAGCCTGAGGCCTGAACGTGTGCCACGGACACCACAGTGGTTTTACTGGTCGAGCTTTTAAGGACTACTCGGGAGTCTTTCAGATAACATGGGTCTAGCCTCAATGGGCGTAACTCCTCTCCCCCTCCTAACACTCACTTGTCTTAGTTTCACCCTAACTCTCATTCTCCTCTCACTCTACTTTCATCTCAAAAGAAAAAAAATATACTCATGTGGCTAGTTGTTGGACGACGGGACGCGATGATATGGAGGACGAAAAGGAAAAGAAATTAATCAATGTTATATAACAAAAAGAAGAATGAGATAACTTACCCCACTATTATCTTCTTGTTCACTGTTCATCCACCTAAAATAAAAAAAGTATTAATAAAAAAGGGTGGGGGTGGGTGTCTGGTGTGGGTGTGAGTGTGTGGATGTGAGTGTGGGTCTGACTGTTAGTGGTGTGTTTATCTACATCCATACTCACGTCCACCCCACACCGGTAACGATAACACAGTCCAAAGGGCAAATACAGGTGGCTGCCTGTAGATTGTGACTTTGATTTGATCAAGATACAAACTTCTGTAAGCTGCTTGTCATAAAAGTACAAATTCTAAAAGCAAAATTTGTTCTTAAAATTATTCTAGGTCGTCAATACATATTAGGTCGATGATTGACAATAACAATATTCATATTTAGAAAGATGGGGTGGGTGTGGGTGTCGGTGTGGGTGTGGGTGGTCTGTGGGTGTGTGGGTGTGGGTGTGGGTGCCGGTGTGGGTGTGGGTGTGGGTGGTCTGTGGGTGTGTGGGTGTGGGTGTGGGTGTCGGTGTGGGTGTGGGTGTGGGTGTGGGTGTGGGTGTGGGT